AGCGACAACTAACTGTTACACTGTACACTCAGATCCCCATTCAGTGTTGCGTTCATGGCGACCTACCTTCCCGAACGCCTTGATTCTGCCATTATACAAGCAAAACCTTCAGTTCAACGCCTCAAAACAGGCATAAACGTGAAAGTTTGAACATCAAAACAACTATGGCACCCAAGCCAACCTTCCAGTGCAACTGAGCCAGATGACCTGTGTTGACCCCTTCCCCAAGAAAAAAATAGCAAACAATTCGTATAGAGCTTCGAATATACAATCATTGCACAGAAACCCTTTTATATCATCAAATAATACACATCCTAGATACAAAAGCACATTAAATCAAAGAATAGTAACAATTTATTTCATTCTATCTGCTTTTAAGTCTGCAAAATATTGCATTACTTTTATTCAAATACGCATTATCCAGCCGAATCAGTGTCTACAAATTATACGCTTTATTTGTAAGCCTAGCAAAGGAACTCCAGCTGAGAAAGAGTTCAGGTGTGTCTCGGGACTCTGTGATCTCACTTTCTTCCTCTTGAAGACGCACACCTGGTTTAAGGGCGATGTCGGGCTGTCTAGAGAAGGAGTTTGTCTTCCAGTTTAAGAACGGAAGCCAGAAGTCTTGCCTGACGGTTCCCCTGAGTCTGCCGCTGGAGTGTTCGGCTCGGGACCTGAGAGGGAGACTAGTGGCAGCGCACAACCTGCCGTGTTATGTGGAGGATGGTAACGTTATGTTATTGTTTTGGGTGGGTTGTTTGTGGGTTTGTGTGTATGCTTGTCCGGACAGAGTTGGTTGATAGCACGTGGGCGGGGCCGGGGGAGGTTGGCAGACATAATGGCAGGGGGTCGACATTGAATGTCAAAAGATTTGGTATAATTTATTTTTATGATTTAAAATAAGCCAGAAATATGGAGAAATTTTAGAACATTCAAGTTTTTAAATTTGTCAAATTGAACACTGTGTATGTGTGACCAATTGAGCACTGTATTGCCAGGCTATGACAACTATGCCTTGTGTTTCTAGAGCTCCTTCAACAGTTGGAAGAGTTCATCACAGTGGAGACTTCCAAACTGCAGGATGAGAATGCTGAAAACTCCCTCAAAGTCTTGGATTCCGGGGAAAAGTCAGTCGAGGACAAAGCAGAAAGCTGGGCTCAGGCCTTCTCCAGGGTAAAGTCATGAAGAACTTATTATTATGTTTTTGCTGATTTTTCTTCGTCTCCATTTCTATATAATATATATGGCAAGAAATTGGACATAGCAAACCATGGTGCATTTCAAAACCTAACAGAAAACCTAACATTGAATGATATTGCACCCAGGGGAATTCACTGGTTTTCAACCTCTTTTCTGCATTTCTGGTGAAGCTCAGTGAAGTTTCCTCGCAGCAGGTCTGAGGAAACATGACAAGCATACTTTTCTTAAGTCCTAACACTGGGAATCTAATAGTGATGTCACCTATAGCTTGTGGTAGTCAGGTATCGATATCCTTGTACTGTTAGATTCTCTGTTAGATTTCTAACAACTGAAACCTAACAGCCTGATGATGCAGCCTGACACACTGAAAAACACGGCACACATTCTGAACGACCGTCTAACATATAACACTATTAAGCACACCACATGTGGTTATCTACATGTGGTTATCTCAGGATCCTTGCACTGTTAGCTTCTCTGTTAACAACTGAAACCTAACAGTCTGATGATGCAGCCTGACACACTGTGAAAAACACGGCACACATTCTGAACGACCGTCTAACATATAACACTATTAAGCACACCACATGTGGTTATCTACATGTGGTTATCTCAGGATCCTTGCACTGTTAGGGACTGTACGATATTTACCGGGGGGGGAGGGCTGGTGCAAAATGGTCCGGTAAAAAATTTTTTCCATGGCCCTCCCCCCGGCTCAAAATTTGTTTCCATGGCCCTCCCCCCGGCTCAAAATTTTTTTCAATGGCCCTCCCCCC